TGAGAGGCGGAATTCATCATACCTAACGAGTGTCGGTTGATACTTCGACAGGAGGATTGGCTAATAAAGATAAGTAAGTTGGGAACTGTTGGTGTGTGGTGGTATTTACAACTTCGTCTGAGGTCTGGCATTATCCGCTTTTTATTTGCGAAAATTGAGGCTTAAATTCGCAGCCTTGCGAGAGGTTCATGGGGGTTGACTCGCTGTGTAATATCACTGATACAACAGACTCGTTATCTGATACTGCCCTGCATGCCGGCGAAAAGTTTATATGTAAACCCTAATGTTAGTTCCCAAAACAGTTTTTCACCAGATACTGACAGCGATTCTCTAGTTAGCTGGAACCCCCTTATGGAAATTCACGCCAACGTGTTTCCGGAATGAGATTGGAGTTGATACTGAAGTACATACACATCGTCTCTCAGTTATTGAGTTTTGCTTTCCGGGCCGTGTAAAGCACAGCTGCGCCCTGAGATCTAGTCGTAGATAACAGAACCAGCGATAGCGGCGGTCTGGCCTGGTTAGGCCCGTCAGAGCCTAGACGCAACAAATGAGTTGGGGACCTGGAAATTCTGGGCCGAGTGGGATTGATTGCGAAGCCGAGCGCGTGCCCGTCTCAACTGGGGCTTTGCGCGAGTCGTTCAAGTTCACGCCAACGCCATTAAGGCAATCACTCAGTTCTTAGCGTCGCTTCTGAATCTCTAGTTCCCTTGGCAGTTAAAATTGCAATTCCCAGCGATCCGAGAGTGCTACTGGTACTGCATGTATTCCCACCCGCTGCTCATATACAGGCTCTATTCAACGGGATATGTTTCCTAGTCACAGGCATTCGCAGCCTCAGTACATCTTTATACCGGCCTCTGTCTTGAGTGTCTTGAAGTGCTTGAGTTCCAAGTTCCTTTGATTGTAAATTCAAGACATGACTGGTCAAAGATTCGTGAATTTTAGTAATAGCCGCATCGGCCCCGTAGTCTAACAGCATTTTGACCGTCTTCGGGACTCTGAACTCATCAGCCAGATGGAGCGCCGTCTTGCCATATTTGTCTGCAATGTTGACTTCTAAGCTCTTCAAATTCGGTGGTAAATGCGTGATTTCTCGACCACGACTGACTTGCGTTCGCTGGTGAACAGCTTCACTTGGAAATTGGAGCAACATTTTCGCGATTTCGGTACGACCACCTTCTATTACTGCACAATGGAGAGACGTACTTCCATTACAGTCAGAACTACCGCTGTCCGTGTCCGGAAGGCTGAGCGGATACCTGATCACGCTCTTCCAGACGGGTAGGGGACCGTAAGCTGGTAGATGGGGAAGTCACCCGCCACCTTGATGTAATTCGACACGTCTGGCGTAGATGGGCAGGAGGCGTGTATAGGCAGGTTGCCTACTTTAGAAAGCAGGACGGGCAGGTAGGAACCAGTCAGCTGTACTAAACACTGAAATCAGAAGGAGCGTTGATGGATTAGTAAGACAGAAGGAGCGAATACGAGGCCCTGGCCCCCGTTCTTCCCGCCCTCAAATTCCCTTCCAACACTGATATCCGCTACACTCCCAACTAGCTTGACGATGTGGATAGAGTTCGCAATCAGGTCATGTACATGGACGAGCACGAGCTCAGCTCAGACGCCAAGGTCGCCACAACACACGCTGGGCGGTCTACTATCTGCGCCACAGACTACGACTGTGCCTCATCAACAACGACAACGGGCGCGGCCACTGCCACTTTTCTCTCGATCCGAGCACCGCCAATGTTGACGTGGACTACCTCCGAGACTACACTCAACCTATCCTGTCACGGGATCAAGAGGATTTTACACGTATCGTCAAGGTTGAACTTTGTCTGGACCTGGTCCAAACTTCAACGGTATCGGCTCGCGTCAATGCAATGAGTGCCGACCATCGCTATCACGGCGTCTGTGGCCATTGTACGTGTCTTCCTCTCACTTGGCATGAATGTATGCTAACAACCCACCACAGAAGGCTAGCAGATATGACATAGCTCTCGAAAGCTTTCCCATATCGAGCTCAATCCATGTTCAAAGGAAGAGATGTTTACTGGGGCAAAAAGGATGGGCTGCAGGCGCAATGAAAGAATCTGGATGGCCCTTGGAAGAAAGAATTTTCGGAAATAGTACTTTCAAGGAACAAACGGATTGATACGTGAGCTTGATTTACTGCTTACCACCGACAAACCCCGGGACCAACATTCAACTCGCTTCGTATGAAACATGCCCCATATCCGGTCTGGAAGATTCGGATTGAACCTCTCCAAGGTACGATGACTTGTCAATGATGCCTGTACTCATATTGAAAGCCATGGTCTTTATATTCGTAATTACCGAAATTCCCAGCCACACAACTCCCAGCCACACGAAGGAGTCCCGTCCGGCGTAACTACGACTCGTTGCTCACTAACTAAATGGTCCGAGACCCATGTCAAATATTCCAAAGGAGTCATCTTCATCGTCAGTGCGACGTCTAGGCCTCTGCTCCCAGTAGTCCTGGAACACGCTCATCTCTACCGCCTCCTTTGTCGGGTACACCCTCCAGAACGGGTCATCGTGACCATTGAATACGTACTTGTTCACCAAGAACAAGGTTTTCTCCTTCTTGTGAATTGCGTCGTTGAATGCCGATCGCAGGCTCGTGTCTTCTGCGCGGTGTAGCCTTGTCTTGAGAAGGTTCCTGTCGCGGCGGAGGTGGCCGGCTATCTCGTTGAACTCTCCACGCAAGAGCTTCTCCGTGTAGCGGTTGTAGTCCCTTTGCATGCGGCCGCTGGGTGTGTTTTCCTTAAGGAATTGGAGGAAGTCGGCACGCTCTTGCGCGTACTCCCTGTTAGTCCATCCGTCCTCACAGAATAGGTGTGCGATCCTTTTGATGGTGTCTGTTGATGGGGTAAGTGGACGGAAGAGAGGGGGGCTTGTCCCCAGAGTGGGAGATGGGGAGGGATCCTGCTTGCTATTAGTTAATTCAGGGTCCTCGTTTATTTCCCAAAATCCGGTCGTCGGTACAGCGTCGATTGACATTGGCTCTTTTGTGAGAGGCAGTATCGAATTCTGGTTGCTATCCATTGGGTCCCAGTCCCCAACTAAATCCAAAAGCCCGAGCGCTGGTGAATCCGAAACCTCAAGTGATGAAGAATCATACAGCTCCGTTGATGTCGAATCCTCGGGTTCAGGCACTGTTGAATCCCACAGCCCAGGCTCTGATGAGTCCCATGATACAGGTGCAAATGAACCACATAGCTCCGAAAATGGGATTACAGACGCTGGGAAGTCCCACGGCCCAGGTGCAGTGGAATTCCACGGTTTCACTGCGGGAACATGGAGATTCACGTACGTGGATTTCCAACTTCTAGGAGTCGACTTTTGCTCCCTTTCCAATTCTCGCTTTTGCTTCCTTTCCAACTCTCGCTCACGCTCCCTCAGCGCGGACTCATAGTTCGACATGAGTAATGTTTCCTGCATTCCCCGCAACAGCTCATCCCAGGTTGGATTCATCCGCGTGCGTATGAAATCCGTCGTGATGGCTTCAACCATCCGTGGCCTCACCGCATGTCACGCGACCCCGGTTACATAATCACCGAGGACCACACTCGCTTACACTCTCACTTTCAGGGCGAAACCTCGTGCCCATTTCCTACTTTGAATAGACAACCGTTCTCTACATTCAACGTCGATGCCGCTATTGTGACTATACGACAAAATTTAAGCAGCGACTATAACTTCTGGCCCCGCACAGCTTGTGAAGCGCTACCGGCAAGTCATCCACATGACAGTACGTGTACTTTAGGACATAATGCTCGCGGAATATTTGGCACAGCTTGGTGGTGAGATCGTGATACTTAGCTTCATCTGCAACATACCCCAGTAGATCTTTCGTGTGATCGATTACGTCGCAGCGATAGTCGTCTGTGGTGTGGCGCTCGTTTGCTCTGGAGTCTGGGTTAAGGCCCTCGTGGGCGAATTCCTTGAGGTCCTTGGCCTTCTTCTTCGTAGCTGGGCAAAGGGGCTTGGTAGAGGAAAGTTTGAGAATTTGGTCGGCGAGGGCGATGGCTTCCTGGAAGAAAAGGTGTCTTCGGGCGAGATGGGAGAGTATTCTATAATGGTCACATGTGATAATACTGCAGACATGATGCTGTTTGGTACCCCAGGTGAGATGGATAAACAGGCTGAAATTCGATAGGGGTGAGAGGGCATGAGTTGTTTTTCCCAGTTCGCCCGAAGACGAGGAGAGCAACTTCGTCTTTGTAATGATCGTGAGGCTATCGAAGATGGAGGTGGTCTGTCAGGTGTGAGGACTGAAGTGCTGTGACCCATTCATGCAAAGCTAAATCTTTGTTGCCTACCTAGCTATGGGTTGACTAACTGTGTTTGGTCGACCTTTATGAGCTAACCGTTCTCGTTCTAGATGCCCAAAGGACGGATGGCGTCCTCTTTCTTTGAGTGTCAGAGTTGCCACAGTATGTACAACTTTTTTATATAAAGTTGCCCGCTACCTCCTAAAGTTGGATTGAATAGCGGCGAGCCGTATCCTACCTATTCACAGTGGCGTGCCGTGTATCGTGACGTGCTCTGAGACATTTATATCTATTGCGAAGGAGTTGAGATGGCTCCGTGCGGCTACATACAAGCCAGAAGACTGCATCACGCCCATAGAACTGGACTATGAACGGTGCCCTCTGGGTTTCGCACAAAGTTGCGCATGATATTGATGCTCTTGAAAGGTTGCCACTATGCCTCTGGAGCCTTGATCTGTGTTAGTGAACAGGTAGCATTCCGATCATAAAAACTATCACATATGAGAAAGAAACACCGTTTCCCGCCAAGATTTGAGTTTATTTGGTTCAATATAGTTAGCCGGGACCTTGTTAGATAAGGTACATATATCATTACAAGCCCGCATGGCCGAACCCCAGTAAAATACTTCCAGTTTGCTCCTGCTTGATTCAAGCTTCCATCCAGTATACTTGATCCTGGTTAAGGGCTTGTGCATAGCCTCAAGACTCCGTTTTACGTAGAGACTGAAACTCGGCAGGTACGGCGTCGGCATCAGCACCAGTGTTGGCAATATTTTCCTGGAGACAGGGGAAATAGGTCAGCATCTCGTCTGAGTCTCATGCATACAGGGTTCTTTTTTGGAAGTTCAATTCCACTCACCAGCTCCTGAAGTTTCTCATCCGTCAAGCCTACAATGTCATACTCAGTGCCGTCTGCGAGGCCGAGGGTATCAGGTTTGACGACAGCCTCGCATTTACCGGCACCGGGCTGCTCGGTGGGGCAAGACTCGTCGACAGCCCGCTTGCGGTTGAGAAACCAGTATTGCCCCCCCGTGCGGTCGCCGCGCGTCGTGTAAGGCAGACAGACGCTTGTGCTACCGCCCGAATCGCGCTGACCCCCAAAGAATGAGCATCCACCGCCCGTGTATGCCTCAGTGCGAATGCGCCAGTTGCTTGGAATCTGGGCTCGGCAATCATTAGTTCAGACAATTTTGATAGCAAAACAAAAGGTTTTCACATACGGCAACCACAGCAATGCTCGATCTGCCGCTGCTTGCAGAGCTACTGAAAGAGCAGCACACGTTTGGATTGATGTTGGTACAAGCGACTGAACCTCCGGCGCAGTTGTCGCCAACGTGGGCCCTAATGTCGATGGCTGACGCGGTGGCCGCGAGGACAACGAGAAGTGATGAGAAGTACATAATGAGTTCGAGCGGCGGTGGTGTTTGTCACGATACTACTGAGTTTGAATGATGAGAGATTGATAGTGAAGAAGAAGGAAAAAGAACCATCGTTGATGAGGAAGTAACCTGGCTTTATACCCCTTCTTTTCCAAGTTGTCTGTACTATGAGCTCTATTATTCTAAATAAGAGAAAGAGTTGCTGATGACTGCTCGGAGTCATGATACGGTGGCCCCTCCTGTGCCGTCTTACTACATCGCAGATGGGGCGCCAGTTGCTAGCTGACATCAGTCTGAAGTATCCTATGCATATCTAGACAACATGTGAGGGCATCGCCACCGCCCCGGTGAAACTCTCTTTACCGCTCGCGGGCGTTTCCCCCATCGGCATTGAGTGGAAGCCTTAAACCATGAGACTCTTCATGCCGTGCTATTCTCTTCACCTTTTCAAGTTAGGTCCCTCAAAATCTACCTTGCTGGATCGCATATTGCAATTGCTGTCCTCAACTACTATCAATTTGTGCGCGCAGTCCGGCAAGTGCCCGGCGGATAGGACGAGCTCGGGAAGTCCTTTCGTGCAAGACATGCCTCTAGTCTGCCCGCTTCTTGGCATTGATCCTTGAAGCATTGGCCTGCAAGTTTACAATAAACTGCCCTTTTGGGTGCCTATAGCGCTTACGCCGAGGAAACCTTCGTAGCATCTCTTTCTTACAACGGCTTGCCCAGGCGCATACGATGTGACATCGCAGATAATGGATCGCTAGCCTAAAGTAAATCCCGCAGTTTCTGTGCCCGACACCATACTAAAGTGTCATACTTAAGCGACAAAAAAGTGAAAGCCTCCCCTTCATCCAGCTTACTATGGTCAGTCCAATCAGTTTGAGTGAATCAACCGTATCCGAATGGATCCTATCGAGGGAAGTAAGCGGTTGATAGGTCAAGAACCTTTTCGAAGTGAGCTTGGCAGACTACTATGCGGGGTGGTCTAATCGATTGAAGCAGGTTGTCATAACCAGTAAGACATGACCAACAGAGAATGCTCCACAGGAATACTTGGCTTTCTACTCGGCTATGAGCGGCTTGTTGGACAATCATCTCCGAGTTCCGGCCCTTCACCTTAACTTCCCTTTCCATTTGCCTGACCCTCATGTACCTCGTATAGACTCCAATTTCCTCCAGGTGAACCTCAGAAACAAGGTGATGCCGAGTCTTGGTGCCTGGTATTGCGGCTCAGTGTGCATGTTCCCCCTCAACGTTCAGTGCTATCCAAGTTGAGACTAAATTTGAATTACCTCAAGACTTCTGATCTGTTCCATGATTTCGATGGTCACGAGAATGAAAAGTTATGGGATACTGTACTCAGCCGCTGCCCGCTCTATTACCCAGCTTGTAAATACAATGATCGACACCAATCGTTTTAAGAAGCTCAGGTTGTTTGCCACTGTCTCCCGTATCTTTGACTGTACTTGAACTTCCCATTGGTCACAGCACTAATCTTCCTACCAAATGGTTTCATCCCTATTTTATCAACGCGATAATAGCTCTTTATATCTGTATTATGTAAAATATAACAGAGTGATCCTTGCCTGCAGACTTTGCCCTCATATGAGTCTTTCCTACTGCTTCAAGAGTTTTTGGGAGCCAGCTACAACAAGAGCTCTTCATATATTGATGATAGTCATCCAGAACGCGGTAAAAAGGTTACAGTATGCTACAGGCGCAAGAAAACGAAATGAAGAATCTTTTACTTCCGGAGATCCCACCCCGACAGCTCCGGTTACGCTCATGGGCTTTCAGGCTCTGGGCGATCCCGGCTCATCTACCGTCACAACAGGGTGCGAGTTTGGAGCAACGCTTCCTCGAAGTGCTAGACACACGCTTGGACTGAATAGAAATGAAAAGACCAACGGCTCTGCAACTTCGACTGAGCCGTCGCAAGTACCAGTGTACTCTTTCCAAGCCTTACACCAAGATGGAACCTGGGAGACTCCTCATTTCGACGATCTCTTTGGGAATGGCATCACATCCTGGAACATCAACTGTGGCCGTTGATCTCCGATTGAGCGGATGTGAACAGTAACATGCATGGACCATGCCATCTGAAAGCATCGACGTCAGAGCTGCTGGAGTTTAGTGACTAGATTGAGAGCTTAAGCTCTTCTGATACCGAAGTTGGGCGTATTCTCAAAGTTAGATAAACAAACCATGATTCAACACACGTAAGTCCTTTGTGTCCCTAAGTCACGAGTCCATGAGTGGGAATAGCAGAAATGAGCCTTGGTCTTTGCCCGCGTGAAGCCTGTAGACTCCTCTGCTGCAAAGTCGGAGCCTTGCATCATTTGATGATCGGGATTGAGGAAGGGAATGGCCTAGCGCAGTTCTTTTTCGGGCTCGATGATCCATCCGAACAGCCAGATAGTAATATCGAGGCATGCTGCCTTGTCAGGCAAAGGAAACTCTTTCTCTCTGGGCGTATAGACTGGGTGCAGTGGCGTTGACATTTTCTGTTCCAATACCGGTGAGAGGCATGCAGGTTTCCGATGGGCCCGTTATTGAAATATGCAGCCCCAAAGCCTGAAATAGCCGTGCTGATTGATCAGCTTTTGGCGTTGAGTTTCTAGGATTTCAGCTAGGTGGCCAACATTCGTCAATAGGTACTTTCTCCAATGGCTTGTCAACCTTTTGAAGCGTCCCGAGACGGTTGAAATCCTCAGACTCCACAACTTAAGCCCATAAACGAAGCTCGGTGTATCCTTAAAATACAATTCGAATAGGGAAAGTAATAGCGAATGTAGTACAACCATCAACTGCACTGTGCGAGACAAGGCTTGTTGAGGAGAATGCAACTTCTTATTGCTCTTTGGTTTCCGCATTAAGGTAGATTTTGTGCTCCATTTAACGCATGAGGGGAAATGCATTCCCTAGCTTGTTGACAATATCCAGGCCTCCAGCATTGAGAACGCTAAGTCTTACAGGGGGTCAAATTCTAATCGTTGTTAGCTTTCTTGAGATAACAGTCAAAGAACGTTCTCCAGGTCTTCTCTTGAGGCGGGGCTTTAGAGATATTGTGTTCAGCTAGCCACATGATACATTCTTCGCTCAAAATGAATCACGCTTAAGTGGCCATTCGTGGCTGTTGTGAATGGGCAGCCATTTCTCAGAGCTTAGCCACTTTTGCTAGGAACGAATGGTGCCATAGGTGTGTGGTGCATTTGTCCAACTTGCGACAATGTACAAAGGACAGACAATCCGTTTGAGGGCCGCGCGATGTTGCTCTCAGTATGAATTCTACTTAGGGTACTGATAGCACGTGGCTACCTTACTGTATGGTCCACTTACTTCCAGTCAGGCTGGCAACGTCACCAGCAACTCTTTTGTCAAGAGTTATGGAACGCAGAAATGGGCACATGGAGCGGGTTCAAAGTGGATTGAATCAACTCATCTAAGTCGAAGAAAAGAGAGCAGTCTGTATGCTGAGCGAATGTGAGGTTCACGCGGAGTAGCACGGGACAAAGCGATAGCATTCCTGTTTCGTGACATATTTGCCTATCACCGAGGATGATGCGAGATAATCATGTCAAATCGACTCAGGTGAACAAGAGAACAGAAAAGCGTGCAACTGGCGTCGAACTTAGCAAAGAGATGTTCCTAGGGCGAGAATGGCCTTCCTTAGTTTTTTCCCGCGTATTTCGCAGAGAATAGCTAGCTGTACATCATTTCTTTGATAAAGCAGCCCAAAGATTGGTTGACAGGTACTTTTGACCTGAGTTGCAAATTACGATTGAAGCCGTCAACCCTTGCACGGGCCCCTTGAGCAATTCAAAAGCCGCGCTTATGTTCGCGCCGCGGGAGAACCCTCCAGATAATCCCTCCTTGCGCGCAATCACGCTAGTCATCACATAGTCTTTTCCCTGAATAGGATGCACTGGTCGAGAAACAGGCTGATCAGCCAAGACGGCTGCTTCGTGAGGTTCGACAGTGAAGCATTGCTGGATGGGTTCAGTGCCCTGAGTCGTTTTGTCACACAAGCAGATGCGCCTCCTAAGCCGACGTAATCAACGAACCCATCAAGATTGCCATTGCTCTGTCCCAAAGCTCCGTCCCAGTTCCGTTGTAATGGGTCTACCAATTTCCGTCGCGAGTAAACCACTTGTCGGCACGGAACGCCCTGAGCTTGATTTCGATCTGTCTTACCTTTTCTCCCACAGGTTGCAGATAAGGTCTCGAAACCTCTCTAGGTACCGAGTCTAGCATTTGGTAAATGAGCAAAACCTCAGCGCCCAGTGCGGCCATCTTGCGGCACGTCCAATAAAGTCCCTTGTGCATGGCAGCGAAGAATCTGTAGCCTTTGTTGGCGCAAACAATCGAAAGCTCAGTGCCCGCGTTGCTACTCGTAAGCTCAGCAATTGGCTGGCCGGGCTTGAGTGTGCTCAACCTTTACGCTTCTTCTATGATGCCGAACGCGACACGGCCCTTTTCGAATCACCAGGATCCAGATAGCCAAGTTCAGCAAAAATCGTTCCATCGAGGCCGAGAGCAGACGCGATTCGATCTAGGCGCACGAGAGGTGTGCAGCCGAAAGCATCTGCCGCCGAATCAAGAATTGTCCGCATTATAGTTTATTGTCACGGTTAAGAGGAACTATTATAAACTGCTCTGGAAAAAAGGAATTTAGCGAAATGTTCATAGACAAGACAACTGTTCTCTTGCAGAGTCATGATTAAAGCTGCTTTTTTATTTATTCAAAGAGCCGCGTCCCGCCCAAGTTTGAGATTTCGGCGCCAGTCGAGCCGAAAAGTCCTTAACTTGATATGCTGGGGATCTGATAGTGGCTTGAAGTTTCTTGATGAAAAAGAAACAAATTTTCTCTGGTGAGCTTTTGCCCCGCGGGTCACTATCATGCCCACAGCCTACAGTAATTGAAGGATGTCAAGAAGCCCACTAATAATCGTCAGGCGATCTTAGCGCCCTGATGATATACGAGGCCCGTATGTCTGGTCTCAAGAAGGGCGCGCCCCACG